ATCTAGGGAATGCATAATTTATGTGACTTGTTGCATAAGTTAATTAATTGTTTTAATTCCGCATAAACACCTATTCATCCCCCTCTAGGTCTTGGTTGGGTCGAACTATATCTTTCTCAAGTGGTATCAGAGCCAAATCTCGAGTCCTGACCCATAGTTGTCTAGATGAGTCAATCACTTTCTGTACCTCCATATTTTGACGGAAGTAATTATGCCTATTGGAAGGTTAGAATGCGTGCGTTTCTTAAGTCTTTAGATGAGCATGTTTGGGTAAGTGTGCAAAATGGTTGGAAACCTCCCTCTACTATCGTATCAGGAACTGTTAACCTTATCGAAATATCACTATGGACTAAAGATGAAATAGCTGAGTGTAATTGGAATAGCAAGGGTCTTCATGCTCTGTTTATGGCCGTGTCTCCCGAAGAGTTTAGGAGAGTGTCAATGTGTGAAACTGCTAAAGAGGTTTGGGACATTCTTGAAACTACACATGGGGGAACTAAAACGGTAAAGAACTCTAAGCTACAAATGCTAACTTCTAGGTTTGAAAAAATGAGAATGAAGGATGATGAAACGTTTGACGAATTCTATGCTAAATTGAATGACATTATTAATTCTAACTTCAATCTAGATGAGAAAATTTCCGAATCTAAAATTGTGAGAAAAGTGCTTAGGTCCTTGCCCGAAAGATTTAGGCCTAAAGTCACTGCCATTGAGGAAAGTAAGAACCTAGATGAAGTTAAAATCGAAGAACTGGTAGGATCATTGCAAACATATGAACTCACTATTACACAACCTAAGAAAGGAAAGTCCATAGCCCTAAAATCCATCAAAGAAGATGAATCTTCTGATACTGAGTCATTTAGGGACGAGGAAATTGCATACTTTGTTAAGAAATTCCAAAAAGTTCTCAAGAATAGGAGAAAACCTCAAGATAAAAAGAGTGGAGCCCCTAACAGATTCACAAAAGCAAAAACTGAAACGTTTAACAATAAAGGGTCGAGTGATAAACCACGTTTGGTTAGGTGTCATGAGTGTCAATGTATAGGTCACTATAGGAATGAATGCCCTAGTTATAAGAAGAACCAAAGAAAAGGGAAAGGTAAGGCCTTAGTTGTCTCACTTACAGATAATGAATCTGAGACCAGTGATAGACAGGAATCTTCTAGTAGTGAGGACGAAGGAAACTATATGGCATTTGTATCGACTGTTAAGAGTGAATCTGATAAGGAGAGTGACAAGGTTGAGGAAGAACTTCCAAACGATAATTCTAGTAGTGAGGATGAGGATGAGATAGACATACAAGAAGCTTATCAACTTTTATTTAAGGAGAGTCTTAAAATCAAAAAGGTCAATAAAGCCCTACTCAAAAAGGTTGATGAACTTGAAAGAGAAAAAGAGAAACTTGCTAGTAATCTTCAGAATTCACTTAAGAGTGGCAGTGAGTTAAAGTGTGTCAATGAGAAGTTAGAAGACAAGATTAAGACTTTGACTAGTGAATTGGTGAAATCTAATGCTCATCTTCAGACTTTCATAAGTGGGACTAAGAAATTGGACAATATTTTGAAAATGAATAAGCCTGCAGGAGATAGGAAGGGTCTAGGATATGTTGAGGGTAATGCACATGTTGTTGGACCTTCTAAGACTGTTTTTGTTTCTGCCTCTAAGAAAGTTAATGCTGTTAGTAGTTCAAATAAGGGTAAGAATGTTTCGAGAGAACAGAGTCATCAATCACGTAGGAACTTCATACCCAAATACCCTCAACCACGTACCTTTGAGCCTAGGTTCATTCCCACCTGTCACCACTGTGGAGCCTTAAGACACACTAGGCCTAGATGCTATAGGTTAGGGAATGAGCATAAAAATCTGAACATTCCTAGTAAGGTTAGCTTTCTGTCTAATCAGGTTAATCATTTAACTGAGATGCTTACTAAGCTTACTAGGAGTACTTTATCATCTAAGAAAGTTTGGGACAAAAAGGGTGATCTAGCTAGACATTCAGGTCAAGAAAAGTGTTTTGTTGCTCATATTGCATTGAAAGCCCAAAATTACAACATGTGGTACCTAGATAGTGCATGTTCTAGGCATATGTGTGGTAATAAGGGTTTATTCACTACTCTTGATGAATGTAACGGTGGTATGGTTACCTTTGGAGAAGGGGATTCTGCACCTATTCTTGGCAAAGGTACTGTACAAATACATGGTTTACCTGTGATCTCTAATGTGCTTTATGTGGAAGGTTTAAAGTCTAACTTGTTAAGTATTAGTCAAATTTGTGATGCTGATTTTGAGTTGAGTTTTGTGCAAAAGAGATGTACTGTGTATGATTCGTCTGGTGGGGTGGTTCTTGAAGGGGTTAGAACAACTGATAATTGTTATGGAGTCTTGCCTAATTCTAACTATGTGTGTAGGAGTGCTAAAATTGATGTGAGTGAACTCTGGCACAAAAGATTAGGTCATTTGAACTATAAGAGTCTAGTACAACTGGCTAAGAAAGAATTGGTAGATGGTTTGCCTAAGATAGGTCCTAGTGAAAATGTTGTGTGTGGACCATGTCAACTAGGTAAACAACTTAAGGGGAACCATAAGAAGACTTCAAAAATTCTGACCAAAAGACTCCTAGAATTGATACACATGGATTTAATGGGACCATCTAGGACTGAGAGTTTAGGTGGTAAGCAATACATTCTTGTTGTGGTAGATGACTTCTCGAGATTCACATGGATAGAATTGCTTAGGGAAAAATCTGATACATGTGATCTCATAAAGTCTTTGTGTAAACGGCTTAGCAATGAACTAAATCTCAAAGTGTCTAGAATGCGTAGTGACCATGGAAAAGAGTTTGAGAATTTTAATCTTGATAGTTTCTGTATGGATGAAGGGATATTGCATGAGTTCTCTTCTCCTATCACTCTTCAACAAAATGGGGTGGTTGAAAGGAAGAATCGGGTTCTTCAGGACATGGCTA